GTACTATACTCCTTCAATAATTTCTTCAAACCCTAATCTTTTGGATTTTTGATTATACTCCTACTACTTCTACCACTATGGGATTTGAATCGACACCTGCATCTCTGTGCTAATGTGGTATGGCAACTCGAACTGATGTACGTACGTACGAAGTTCTACGTTGTGACTGACTGACTGACTTTAAGTCGCTAACCTTCGGCTAAGACTATGAGTTCCAGTGTAGCTTTTGTGAGGATGGCTCGTTGGCAAACTCAAGGCAGCCTCAAAAAGCTCAGACAGAGCCGAAGAGATTCCATCCAGCCACCACTAGGTGAACATTCTGGAATGTCGGCGTGTAGCTTCTCTATTGGATGAATAAGAATGACGCCCTATATGCCTATTGACTGTCCGAAATGATGATTTACTTTCAGCCGAAAACTATAAATAGATGAGATTTCTGTACTATATTTGACACTGTTTTGGGGAATAAAATTTCTACTAACTAGTCTTCTGTCTTCTCTCCTTCAACATTGCGGGTTTGATCGTTCAAGTAGTCTAGTAGTACGCGGCATAGCAAGGATCAAAGCTCTAGATATTACACTTATTAGGACATTTTGACGTACCAAACCATTTTGCTTTTTCCTCATGTCAGAGCAACTCACAGTCAGTGAACATAGTATAAATGAGAGCTTTTTGAACAAAAGTACTGCCCCCGCATGCACTCAAACAATCGTCCTCTCGAGTGCTGAACCACACACTTGAGTGTAGATCACACCGGCCCATATCGGGTATGACTGCAGTATTTCCTTACATTGGTCGGTTATCAGAGTTACTCATGTCTAATAGTGGATACTCTTTGTTCCATTGATAGAAGAAACCAGATTAGTAAAGAATAGGTCATTATTTAGATCATGGGGCAACACACAGTGAAGCAGCAGGTAGCTTTTTCAAACACACAAAGCATCTTAACGTTCAGTATAAAATCATTGGAAATATAATCAAAGTTAGGGAGTGAATGAATACTTTAATGTCCTGACATTTACTTAGATATTTTTGGTCAACTCTCAACCGTTCAACCTAAGTTGTTTCAACCTCTCGCTTTTCGTATCAAATAAATTATTCTCTTTCCAGCTCAAAAGTGTTCTTCAGAAACGCCAGACGTCATACCACTGCTCACACGATAGGATGAGTCAGTGTTGACAGTGATTTGACATCCATGTAAGGATTCGACATTAGCTCAAGATAACGGCTTTTTTTATGTGATATTCATAGATTTTACCGAAGTATTCGGTAAGATTTCCAACTTACGGCTTATCCAGTTCCACAACGCATTAAACATACAATGATGAATAAAGTCATCATTAATAAACCTCTCTGTAACACGAACCAGATGAAGTAAGCAGTCTAGATGAATCTCACCCAGTTGTTATTGAACGTGACTTGAATGAACCTAAATTTTGATGTTTTCGAAAATCTGATTCACCCACTTGTTGATACCAGTTGGATGTTGAAAATGTCGCAGGAATTTGCAGAATCCCCAATCACTGAAGACCGAACATTTGTAAACCCTTACAGTACATTTAATTGTGTTCTGTCCATCATGAAAGATTTATCAGGATGTAAATATTAAGGTTTACTCTTTTCTACTGACTTCAGTTTGTAGTTAACATGAAGCGAATGTACACATTTTAGTTTCATCCCAAGCAGTCGCACTCTACAAACATTTCGTTTCCCGTTTGAGTCTATTCGGTAGAATCTACAGTGTAAATTATGTTTCAGTCATTGAGGCCAGTTGGTTTCTGAAATTATGGAAGACAGTTCATCAGGTAGAGATTCTGGAAAAGTATTTTGTTGTCGGCTAAGGGAGCTTGCGCGTGAAACGAGGCTTCAATGGAAACTACGAAGTTATATCGGCAAAAAAACGCAGGTGTTCTAGCAATCATCAAGCTCATAGCAGAACGATTTTCTTGGCCTGGTATGACCAGAATCGCGAGAGAATAGGCATGTCACTATATTAGCTTCCAGAAATCTAAAGTGGTTAGACAAGATTAATATCTCATGGGCTATTTTGCAACTGTCGACCATGTTCATACTGATTTAATAGGACTCCTATCAGACTCACGTGGACACTCATAACACTTAGGGTGTGTGTACCGCTTAACACGATGAGTAGAAGCAGTACCAATGAAGAAAAAACTGACGGAAAAGTGACCCCATTCATCGAACGATGGGTAGCAAACTTCGGCTATCCTACAACTATTACTACAGATCATGGACACCAGTTCGAATCTCAACTTTTCCATTGTCTTACTACACACTCAGTAATTAATTGACAGCCTATCATACATAAGCAAACGGGTTGGAAGAACGATTTCAATGACAGTTAAAAGTCTCACTGTCAGCTGTAAACGTTTAAGAGTACATCGAAGCCCTCCCACTCACGTTACTTAGAATTCGCAATCCTGGGAAAGCTGACACTGAATACATTGAAGCACAACTCGTTTACGGAACGACGGTTCGACTTGCAGTAAAATTATGGATTATTCATATTCAATGAATATGGATCAAAAATATTACACGAGCAGGCTTACAAACGCAATACGTCCAGTTAAACGAGTTTCCAGTCGACCGCAGTCAGCTGATGTTTTCGTGTAATTTGACTTACGACAAAGTACACACGTATTTTGCGTCTCAATTCATTACGATGACCCCTCGTTGCAAACCTAAATACTATAAGGCCAATAAGAACAGAACTTATGATAATATCAACATTGACCGTCTTAAAGCCGCACATTAAGAGGAAAACCTCCGTTTTATTGATCTTCTTTTTGCAAAACTCGAATGACACGAGCCTCACAATTACATTGCCCTTCCCGACAAAGAATAATCACGATTAAACTTCACTGGTTTTTGAAAATCCAACAAACACAATACCCTATGGAATAAGTGTAAAGTTTGAGAGACATTTAAACAACAACTGTGAGTAGGGCAGTGCATTACATTTCGTTACATGTCAATCGTTTGTGCTTTCGTGACAGAAAAATGTAAATATACTTTTCGATAGTATGCTCAGATATGTAGGCTGTCTTCCCTTAAAAATTCCATAAATATCATTGTGTAAAATGGTTTTATACTATTGCATGTTGTCTGTACACACGTGCGTCCTACTTTTCTTTTCACTCCCATTTTGTGACATACGAGTGTCTTTCAACATGAATTTACAATATCTCTTCTTCATTTCTGGGACGGCTGAAGAACATGAAAAACCGGCGAAGGTTACAATTACAAAGGAATTGGGATCGTCACTACCCCACTAGGGAAGGAATGTGAGCTGTAGCGTGAATAAATCCACAAAATAAACACTTCTGAATTTCTTAAACAGCGATGCTGGCCCGTTATTTTCACTGAACACACCTGGCTGAAGGCGACTGGTCACGCATCTCAAACAGATCACCAGTGTGTACACCGCGTTACCATCCCTCGCAACTACTAGTCAGCTTAGATAAAACACCTGTCAACATATGGATAATCTTCCAAATATGTCTTCAAACTCCTCCATTTCTTACTTCTGATTCGACTGAGTTGGTATTCTTTGGTCGAAAAGGTTTTTACGTGTGAAGGCGTTGTCAAACTCTGAATGCTTGTAGCATCTTCGAAGGCATCAAGCATGAAACCGGAATTCACTTGAAAGCAAAACCACTAACCTGGTTTTCTCGTCCTCTAATTTTCTTTTCGGCAACTCGATTGTCGGTAGTCAGTGCTCCCTGGGAAGAAGTTCAGTGGTTCTCGTCTCCTGAGCTGGGTGGTATTATCTACCCAAACCTCCGGGAGAGTAGAGCTATTCTATGGCGTAAGGTATTTGTTTAGTGCCGGCAACGCACAAATATTGCCGCTCAATCCATTTCACGTATTTAAACGGAACAGAGAAGACATAGACCTCTCACTATCATACGCCTCTGCATATGAGCCACTAAAATAATCACCACAAACTGACCTCGTTGCTTCATATTGGATAAAAATAGGCCGAATTGATGGAAGGAGTAAATTTCGGGACACGTTAAATAAACTGCTATGAGATGTCTAGCTCAATACCTTCTCCTTTGGATGCTTATTCCGACAAGGTGCAACTACAACTTGCAGAATGCAATCATCTACATTTCAGTTTACTTGATTCATTTCGTCCAGGACCTATTACCGTTCATCGATGACTTCCCAGTTTTCATCAATTATCACAAACAAAAATACAACCTCATGCCTAAAGCAAAAAAAACCAAAAGTGGACATTGTCATAAGGCGTAATAAGAAGATTCATTATCACTTCATTAATATCATTCGAAATTACGAACAATTCGTTTGAAGGTGCGCAAGTTTGAAAAATACAAGAATGAAACGACTGATTGAAACAATCCTAACCAGCAAGACTGTTCAAGATGGAATACAAGCAATGTTTCTAGTTAGAAAAAAGGGTTAAAAATAATGGCCTACGGACGACAACAGAGCATAGATAAGCATTAAAATTTAATTAAAATTCCATTTAATTTTTAGTTTCGTAATAATACTTAAAAGACCAAAAAATTACGGTTAGTTATTTAGTCATGCTAGGTGGTTTTGTGATCTTAGCTTATAGCTAAGGGATAACACTCAGAAACTGGAGACAACATAGCAGAAGGGACTGTATACACAACTTCTACTCCTTAAGAGTTGTCAAATGCCGGAAGTCGTCGCCGGTTGAGCTAGTCCAAGTGACTCCCCCAGGAGTCTTTCAAGATGCATGTTGACCTATTCCTAAGGCTTAAGGATAACATCTTATTATGATTTATCAATTTCCCCCCCTCTATTATCGTTAATATACCTATGTTCTTGCCTTGGTGATCCACTGCTACTAGACACGCAAGCCTGTTAAGCGAAAGCCTCCTCTATTCCGTCCACCACCATTTGAACCGTTTGAACACATTTTCAAATTACGCACCAGTGGTAAACTCATTTGGCGCCTTTTATCGAGATCAGCTGTCTGCGTCAAAATGGCGCTCCCAAATGGCTATGATAAACTAACGAAGGATTTTGATAGCTTCTGGCTAAAGTTTTATAAAAGCAGTTATCTGTCGCCAGATTTTCAAAGATTACCTAGGTGTTGGAATGTTAAGGATCGGTCGCGATCATTGAGATTATCTCATTTCGCACTTACTGTGTCTTTTAGTAGCGGATTTAATGAACGCAATGGTCTTTTAAAATTCAGTATAGGTTATTTTTATTTTCAGATAGTAGTTATAGTGGTCAGGAAGCAGCTTGTGTCCGTTCAGATGCATCTATTCCTCTGACAACTGGAATATATTACTTCGAAATAACGCTGCTTAATAAGGGTTCCAATGGGTAATTGGTTATTATCTCTCACTGTTGGGTTTCTTCCTAGTTGTCTGTCTGTTGGGGTCTCGATGAAGACTTCCAGCCTCAATAAATTCCCGGGTACGTCAGCAGTTTGTTTGTTCTGTCCAATTTAATGCAGTATTTCACGTTGATTTTCAGTCTCACTTCTACTTCACTGTCGAATCTCCTACGCAACTATCTTTTTCATGTAGTTCACATAACAAAACTGAATTATCAGTCATATCGCCTGGGAGTATGTTTCTCAACAATCGTTAACGACTCTACAGCATATGTTCTGTAACAAAATTGTATGTTGTTCTAATTTACATCAAAATTGAAAGGCTTAAGTTGCATCATTGAGTCGCTTTTGTGTGCAATAACTGCATCACGTGGCATAAATAGTATGTCCCCGCTACACTTCATTTATTTAAGTGTAATCAGTTTTCTGCCCACTGACGTGTTTCTGTCGGTGGTGTTGGATCGAAAATCCCACTCCAGATAAGTGGATTTTAGATCCCAGTGCGATAAAAATCTTGCATTTAAAAGTGGTCTCACTTTGTTAAGGGTAATTCCAATGAAACCACTAAATGGAAGTTCACAATAGGTTTATTAGTACCACTGAAAGGAGTCTTGTTAATGATCAGATGCTATATACTGAATAGCCGTATAAGTCTGCTTAACCGTTTTCAAGGAAAAGACACTTTTACTTGGAAGTACATCCAGCCATCTCAAATAAACTAATTTGCGTTTTAATATTGTAATATCAGGAAGGACTACTTAGCTTGCTGACGCATCACTTTCTACGTATTTCAATTCTTGCTATAAGGCTCAAGATAACCTATCGTCAAGCCTTTTGACTCTTACAAGTGTAAGGGAATTTTCAATCCAAAATCCTAACGCTTAGATTCACCATTGTCCTCGCTTTGTTTGTATTACATGAACATCTCATTAGCAATTTGGGAAAATTCCGCAAAGTACACCCCGTCGTAAATAAGAGTGAGTCAAACAATATTTTTGGCATAATCAAAGTTATCATGCACCGTAGATGTGTTTCAAACTTAATACTTTGAAATCGTATGATCCATAAATAGGAGACGAGTTTAGGCAAAGACAATATGGTTACTTTTTCTCTCAGAGTTATACCCATATCTTGGTAATATTGATACAATCTCACGTCTATAAGCCTAATATTACTGTGATGCCCTTTTCTCTATAGAAACCCTTTTCTTTCACTAATTCATAAGCCTTATTAAAAAGCATTCCAAATATGACTTTCAAGACACCTAATTTATCTAAAAAAAACTCGATCTGGCGTCGCCTAAATTTTACTGTCTTACGGTTTCTAATTAGTATTTGATCTCACTGAAAGCACTAATTTAGTTTAGTGAAACATAAGTACACATACAAATAGTATATCATTCAATCGGAGCGCTAATTGTCCTCTTTTTTCATGGTCATATTCTCACCCAACTCATTCTTAATTTTTCTTTTTACTTTAGATTTATATTTATTGTAAGAGGCTGTAAATCCGTTTAGGCATCATCTCCGGTTGTTTGTGAACGGCATGATGACCAATGATAATTTAATTTTGTGTTTTTCGGGCATAATTTACTCACAAATGTCAACGATCATACTCACCATTCGATCTGCTGTACCACCTTTTTGTCAGTAATAATACTGGGGTTGTTAATGTTAGTATAGATCACGTTTTGCTTGGTCTCTCTCTTTTTCTGTTTATCATCATTTATTCACACACACTTGTATCACCAAGTATAGGGCACATACAGTGGTTAGCAGTTTCGCGAATTCCTTAGCTTATTTTTTCCGTACTAAAATCTGGCGCTTACTGAGCTTTTCAATTTCAGGTTCTGAAAATAATTCATTCGGTTATCAATCAGATGGTTGTGTTTATCATGGCTCACCCACATTATCGACAAAGTTCGGTCCTCGCTTCAATGAAAACGATATCATTGGTTGTGGTGTTGATTTCCTTTCACAAAGCTTGTTCTTCACTCGCAATGGCATCTTTTTAGGTAAAGCTTTTGAAGGAAAAGTGCCGGTAAGTTGTGTATTGTAAACTTTCTAAACAATAAAAGTTTTTTACTTCTCACAATTTACTGAACTACACATGCAGTACGATATTCAAAAAGTGAACCGAGTTATTTATATATAAGTTTTTGCACTGTTTTGTGCAAATTACAAAATAGACCACAAACAGTCTAATATTTTATACAGTTGCGACAGGTTACATCAGCAGAACAAAAGACTTACCTAAAACAAATAAAAGGAGTGAAACCTCAAGTATATAAAGTGGCAGGTATTTCGGGATGTAAGTGAAGGTAAAGAGTAGACCCATCTGAAGTGCAACACCGTTCTGTGTGAGTTCATGGCTATGTGCCACTGGAACTATACACAAGGTTAGACGTCATTCTTATCTTCATTTTATTCTGTTCGGTTTTCCAGTTTATATAGCATAAAGGAAAAGTGAGAAATACTGCTTAGTTGTAATGTAAAATATCAAAGCCTTTGTTTGCAAGTCATCCAATTTGTATCATGCTTTACGTCAGCGAGTCAATGATACGTATTATGCCCTGCTTTTGTATCGTACATCCTTTCAAAACTACGAAGTTAAAGGAACATATGTATCAGTACAGATAATTGTTAAAAATTAGTGTGAAATTTGCAACTTAGTGTTGCCGTTACCTTGTAATTTACTGTACTACAAGGTATTAATCTAATGATCACTTTGTGTCAAATTTTCTCAGAAATGATCTATTTTAACATTTTTAGGTTGGTGCTGGTACACGTTTGTTTCCCACTATAGGGCTACAAGGTCGTGGAGTTCGAGTAACCACCAATTTTGGACAACATCCTTTTTATTTTGCTTTTGAAAACCACCTTAAGACGGAACGCATATCTCGTGAAAACAAACTGATTGAACGTACATGTAAAGAGGATTTTGCTGGAATAAAAATAAAAGAGTAAGTCATTATTATGATGTTAAATAAAAACGATGATTTTCATAATAATCACACTTTTACATGACTAAGAAGTAGTAAAAATGATTTAAAGTTAGTGTTACACTGGTTTTGCAAATATAAATGTCGAATAAAATAAATGTAAATAGTTTTCTTCTAAAAACCAATATTTATCATGGATGCGCGATTCAGTCTGGTATAGTAGGCTGGGAAAAAGTTAAGGGCGGCTAAAGAAGACGTGGCATCGATCCATGAGGTAATTGTCAGTGGATAGATGCAAACTACCTAATTGTGGTCCACGTAGTTGTCATAACCAGTTATTAAAAAATTGGGTAGTATGGCTCAGAGTCAACCGAAATGCTGCAGGTACACCCAATCTTTATCTCCCCTCAGATCCTAAGCCTCAAAACTCATACTGTTTTATCTCAGTCAGTTAGCTACAACGTAGGACCAGTCACATATATGCATCAGTCCAAGTTGCCATACCTCATTAGCATACGATGATGAACACCGAACTCATAGTAGTTAATTCAGTGGTGGTAATATATAAAAGAAAGAAGCATATAAAGCGATTTAAATCTCATAGTTTAAAGGAAGACAGATAATGTATACACCTACATCATTCTGGTAGATTCTGAGCCAAATCACCCGGTGTCTCCAACCATTGGTTACGATGGTCGCGCAGACCGCAACCAAGTAGTCTGCACCTACCAACATGGCTCAGACTAGAAGTTAGTAACTTCAAGTACTGATGCCACGTTTGGTTTGTCCTCCCCTAACTCTCTTCCAACCATCCCCTATACTAGTCAGCATGGCGCGTCGTGGTAATTGGTGTTCAGGCATATGTAACACGTGACCCAGTCATCTCAGTCGATGAAGATTCATGACCTCATCAGTTGATTTACCATTATTTCCTAATGCACTGTGTCTAACCTCACTATTACTTACCTGGTGATCCCAGCGGATGCGAGCAATATTTTTAAGACATTTGTGATCAAATACTGCTAACTTACGAGTATCTTCTACTCTAAATGGCCATGTTTCACAGCCGTAAAGTAGAACAGAACGAACTGCTGAACAGTATACTCGTCCCTTAATTGATAGACAGATATCTCGCCTTCGCCACTTTTCTTATCTACACCTAATCTTTTCTACTGTCACTGATAATATTACTACCCCTTTCTCTGGGATTTGTCTTAATAATTGTTAATGTGGTCTGAAAACTTGAACCGATGGTAATTAATTAGTTCATTAGTTGCTTGGGTATGATCCACACTCTGATGATATTACCCCGTCCTCCAAGCTTAAGTAAGTGAAAGATGGCTTGTACCCTGAAACTCAGTGGTCGGAAGTCTAACTCCTTAAGTACTAAGCCACCGCTCCCTGTTGGGACCGACCGAGTTCGGCAAAGTATTCTTAGTGTTTAGTAGACACATTTCTTAGATCCTTATCGCTCAGTGGTTGAATATAACTACCCATTCTTGTGAATACGCTTGGCATTCACATCAAACATAGGGTAGTATAATACCGTGTGTTCGAAAGGCAGTTATTACTGATTGCTTATAAACCTATGTTGTCTATAAACTATACAATTAACATTTTATTTCGCTCAAGATGTCCTTTAAGTGGCTTTCATTAAGTCTGTCAAGGTCTTTCGGCTGGCATAGGTAATTGACGGTACAGTAAGATAATTGTGGGCGATGATATTGGAGATTCCAGGTTGGTGATCTTTAATCACCAACTTAACTTTTATTATATACCCTTTTACTTTCTTCATAAAGAGTGGCTATAACTTTCTTAACTGAGAGAGCTCTTCTGGTTGTACATTTCAGTTCCACCCCCATCATTACTCTTCTTTTTTTCCTTCTTTTATATATACACATCTTCCTTCTCCTCCCATTCTCATTATTTTGTGTGGCGCATATGTATCTAGTGCCCTTTGTACCAATATATATGTGATTAAAATAAAAAAAATATACCCTTGGAAATTAGTCTTCTGTAGTCTTGTGCGTACAAATCTCAATGTGTTTAATGATGTAGTATGGGTATTGATAGTATTTAGAAATTTATTCTAGCACCTGATAGATAATCTTCAGTCACTATATTAATTAACAGGCATACTCATTTCACCAATACATGGTATATAGTGTTAATTCTTAGATTATTTTGGTAGCTTACTACATGTTAAGTTTGTTTTTACAATTGACTACAGACTTGTATCTGGATACCTTGTTCATCATGGTTATGTTGCAACAGCCAAAGCATTTTCCTATTGGTCCAACCTCGCATCCTCTGTTCAGAATTCCGAATTTCAAAAAGACCAGATACAGATTTTCAATGGAAAGATATCGAGTCGGTCAAATTTAGTATCTAGTTCATCCGAAACGAATGTCGATTTACATTCGAATGTAACGTACAAGGAATCTAATCCTTCTGTACTCCAGCGCCGTCATAGCGACAGTTCTTGTTTAGCCCCAGAAATTACTAACTCTCATTTAGGTCAACTCCCTGGTATTGCAAGTATGCTGCACAGAAGACGATTGCGAGCATTATGCCGACGATGCCAATATGGGAGAGCTGCTGCTACCCTAAATCGCTTCTATCCCCAAGTTCTTGAGCGTTGTCCAGAACTACTAGTTCAGCTTCGTTGTCGGCAGTTTATTGAAATGGTAAGTTTACGTTCCTGTTTTTGCGTTAAATACAGTTCAAACTATTTACAAGCCTATAAGTTTCTCTATCCTCTTTGAAAATTGAAGTTTTCCGTTGACCAAAAGTGAGTAGGTGTCATCGTCCTGGAAGATTTTAATAAAAAGCCCTAAGAGTATATGTTACTAACTTATATAAACTAGTGTATTTTGTTCACCTAAATATTCTTCCAAACTCCTTGTAGAGAATTGAGATTGTTATACAAATTGAAATAGAATTATGTGTTAAATTTCCATCACCTGCATCAATAACAAATAAAATGAAAGAACTTATATAGTATTGAGGTACAGTTGTTCTAAATTAGCGCAAATTATTTCATCAGAACTAACTGGTTAGTCTTAGTAATTTCACAACTCTAGCTTCAGACTTTATCAGACATGAGTTAAGATGAAAAACGATTGCTATCTGATTGTATTTTTTTATTTTTTGCATCAACAGTAAAATTGATTTTTGGTATGAGTAGAATATTTTGTTCTTATTTTTATTGTATGCTTTAATACGGACTATTCTCGGGCTTATCAAAAATGTTTTCTATCTTTTCTCGATAGGATTACTTCGTGTGGTTCATATCTTAGTACCGTATCGTACTTTCATACTATAAATAAACAAATAAGTATAAATAATATTGTACTTAGTCATCCTGTCACACTTTCTGTATTTATTTTAATTACCATTATTCATCCTTTAATGTAATTCTAAAGTATCAATAATTCACTGTTTAGTTAATAGTTAGTCGACAGTATAGTCTTTTCATTCATAAACTGTCATGGCTGGAAGAGCTGTTCTTAGCTACAAGGTATTTAACAGATATTTTGTTACAGTTTGAATGGGTTTAAGATTTCTTAACCTTGCCTTTCTGGTTTACCAAATCACGGATAAACTTGTCCTCGATTCAGTATTCCATAACCACTAAATTCAGATTAATTCGCTGATCTTCTAAAAGCTCGGATTCAATTTCCAATAAATTATTCCAGTTATTAATTAATTCGCTCGAGACTTTTAAAAAATCTGTCCATTTTTTTTATAATGTATCAAGTAATCTTCATCAATAATTTCTGTCCAGATGCGTCGTCATGCTGTCAGACGTGGTCGTAGTCATACATCCAACTCAGGAAGTGATTTAAACGATTCCAACTCAACTACGGCTCCACCAAAAGTTCAGAGAGTGTCTGGGTCTCTTCATGTTGGTTCAGGGTGTTGTGTAACCAATAAACAGGATAAGTTATCTCAAGATAACTCTAGTTCTGTTCAGATGGTATGTTTATTCTTTTGTGCCAAATCTCTGAAGGAAACCGTTTTTTTATTGTTCTCTTGATCCTATAAGACACAAGTGTGACAGCGAAAAATTTCTTTATCAAGAAATATATGAAGTTCATGAAGATTAAAGCTGTCTAATTATCAAAAATCTTCTACGTAGAACATTTATGCTTCCTATGTCACTTAAATTACACTGCTTTAATTGAGATTAATACCAGAAACGCTACTGACAACAAAACATTACACTTTGTAGGGTTAGTCTCTATTCATAGAAGTTATGGGTTTCTATATGTATCACTCTAAGTCGCCACTAACATTAGTGAGAAGCTAAACGAAGTAGTAAAAAAATGAAAGACAATGTATAGAGTGATAAGTTGTTCATAGTATGGTGGGTGGCAATAGGTAGATTCATCTGCATCATTTCAATCGACTTGGAAACGTATAATCTGAAAAAAACATTCATCTCATACGGTTCAGACCACATCATTATCCATAAGCGTTGACGTTATTATTTGACTACCACTAATCTTTTGACAACTTATTCGTGCTCCAACTAAAATGCCACGTTTAGGTAAGCTATGTTTAAGCTTTCTTAACACGTAGCTAGCAAATGTAACTCTACTTTCTATTGTTGTTGTAACCACCGATACACAGTTGTCCTGCGGAATCATTTATTGAAACGAGAAATACATTCAAAAGGTTATTACTCACAGTGTTCCAAATACTAGGATTTACCAACATTCGTGCTATCTGTGAAGTTTAATTAATGAAAGGATTTTCCAATGGGGGACATCATCCTTATATAGATCACATAAAGATCGTTCCTCCGCAGGTATATTTATAATTAGTTTATAGAGCTGATCTTTATCTGGCTTACTACCTTTTAGGTTTTGGATATTTATTTGCTGAATATGAAGTAGGTAACTAATCGTTAACCCTTGCAAAGTTCTTTTTGTAATTTTTTTCATCCATGTAATCTTTGGTTTAGGTCGTTGAGAATGGCCTACCACCCTTATCAATGGATGTAGATCCAGAAAATGTGCTCAAAGTGCCCTTTCTAGAAAATGCTGTTAAAGTGGTGGGACAAAAAAGCAAAGTAGATCAGGATTGCAATCTGCTTACAGAAATTGATGATGATTTGGAAACAGCTGATGTTGAAGACGAAGAGGATGACGACGGCTTTGGAGTTGATGATGATACAGGTGTGTGCATTGACACTCTTTTGCCCCATACCAATTCAAAAGTCAAACTCTCTAGTAATGGGTCATATTTACCTTCTGGAATGGATGCTGATAATGGAATGTCGTTTGTAGGATCAACATCTAAGCCAACAACAGATGTTTCTTTCACTTCATCTACGAATTCAGAATTGGACAATGATGATGAAATGCGATGCTTGCTAAGACATGTTCAGTTTGGTCGATCGCTTGTAAACTTAGTTAAACAAGTTCGAGCAAAAACGGGTGGTTTATCTTTAGAAACCGAACGTTTACTGCAGGTGAGGTCATTAGTTGAGAATCTATTCATTAAATTGTTTTTCTTTATCATTATTGTTTATACTCACTCACTTCAGCTTTTCATTCATTTCCTCAACCGATTTTAGTTTTCACAGTAACCTGTGTGTCTTCATAATATTCTTGGGATATCAAACTTATTTCTGTCTTTTGTAGTTGCTTCCGTATGATAGATTTTATGAATGAAGTGCCTTAAGTATTAATCTCTATAATCATCCGACACATACTTAAATGCCGTAAACAGCGAACCTGGGGAGACCAGGCCGGCTCCTGACCTGGACATGTATGTACTGATCAATATTACCCCCCCATCGGGTTTTAGAAAATCCTTATTAAGGACGCCCAATTTGGTTATATTTCTTGACCTTAAGATAACATTAAACTCTGTTTGTCACTAAAATCCTCACCAGCGAAGCGCATAAATCTTGTGAAGGATCTCTACTCAACTTTTATCGGTCGAGTAAAAGCTTATGGTGAACTATCTTCAAAATAGCCAAATTCATGTGTTCATCTGGGTTACCATCTTTCTCCATTTTTGTCGAAGAAATTGTTATGGAGGTAACGTTTTCATCGTCTAAGGTCTTAGGAATTGATGTCCTATCGTGAGATCCCCTCGTCGACTTAGAAACGCTCATACGATGTAGTCCTCTTCAGTGAAGGTGCTTACAAGATGCGGAGTTTTCTGGTCACTTTGAGAAACCATCAAAACATGTTCAGGATGACCTCTCCCTCTAAGTAGTAAGTGTTGCCTCAGCACTGGTCTCCCAGATTGATCTCAGGGAGTGAAGTAGTTGAGTATGTTGAGTAATTCAATTTTCTTACGAATTCCATCAGCCCTGTAATGTTAATATCTGACGAAATCTTAGCTTGTAATCAGAAAGCTCCATTCGCTTTTACCAACTCCCTTATGAAGTAGGCGATGTTTTGTCTTTTAAACAAATAGTGAGTAAACAGCTCAGCTATCCACTATGTATTACTGTATAGCTATGAAACATGCCCTATGAAAGTAAAAGATATGTATAGGCTACAAGTTTTTAATTATCGATGTTTCCAAAGCATCGTTTGTGTAATGTCGGACCAAGTACACAGTGCTGAGCTTTAGAATAGGGTACTGAGTGAAGACCGGAAATCGATTAGTGCCGTTGTGAATCCTCATCAGTCGAGGTGGTTAGGACACAATCTATGTCTACTCAACCACCATTCACTTTGACGTGTAATTTCAGTTGTTATAGAAGTTTGTAAAAAGCTCGGAGCAGGAAAACCAAGACGTAGTATCAATCTATGACGTTCCTGACTGTTAGTAGATCCAGACCACCGGAATGGAGTTTGCGCGGTAACTGCGATTAGTGATTGGCGACTGGGTGACATAGGATAGATGCATTTACTTCTTCCTCTGTATTTAGGGTTTTAGCACTCCATATATACCTTTTCAGTCTATTTCCGCGGACTATGTTCTTAATGTTCAATCTTTTTTACTACATTATTTAGACTTCTTTGCTATTCGTTACATTAATTTCATCACGTCTTGATATAACATGAGGACAGGGGCTAATACGCTTTCGTGTTAGGTTCCATACTGACTGACCAACTGACTTATTCACCAGGATTTTCTTGTGGAAGCTGAAAAAAAGTATTTTTGATTGCATTTACTATCTTTAAGAATGGTCACCAAACTCAAGAAAGTTTATGTCTTTTTTAATCATCTTTGTTAAATTCTATACTAGCCAATTGAAAGGCTTCCAGAACAATTTCTGTAATAATAATAATTTCTGTTTTTTAAATCTTAAAATAATACAGTTATTTGTGTAGATTCACGGTAAACACAGATGATTAAGAGTATTTACGTGCAATCACTATTACAACCTTTCGTATGGTTTTTATTAACCGATTTAAATATATATATTTAAAAAAAACGTTAGTGAAACGTAGTGTCTTAGACAGAAACACTTTGCATTATTCGATAAGTTATCTAAAATTGGGATGAAAAATATCTGCTTAAAATTATTACGTATTGAGGGTATTAGCGTAGATTACACTTTCTTATTTTATTAATTTCTATATAGTTGTATCTGTATTACACTTAATATCACAATATCAGTTACATATTCTTAATTAATTAATTATTTATTTAAATACATAAATATTGGTACAAAGAGGCACCAGATATATATGCGCCACACAAATCTTATTTGATTTGTGTGAGGACTGTGATATTGCCCAGGTGCCCAAGCCGAAGCAAGTGGTTTTCTTAGGGAGCCACACCCGAAGCCTTCGACCTAAAGGTTTAATTCACAAGGCAGTGGAGCATCATGAAGAAATGCAGTCCTATGGTAGCCATTGACCAATAATTGGTTCGTACTCTATTTGTTCCTTCAGGATACTGGAACCCATGTGCACTATTGGTTAGGAATGAGGGTTTTCCAGCTTCCCCGGGTGTTTGCTTTGTGTCCACCATCCCGGTTTAAGTGCCGAACAACACCCTCGTCGCGAGGTGGCAGCGAGTAGGACTTCCTTAACAGTGGCTGAATACGCGTGGCCGTGTGAGAGCATTTAGAGAAGGGAAGCGGACTTTCCCCACTCTTGGCCGTATCAGGGCATTTGGGGCTTCTTAGTTATATAACAACACAATTATTTAAAATATGATTTAAGGAAAATATTGTCTTATTCAACTGAATTTTCAGTTCTACTTATTATTTCGAGTTTATGTGCGCTGACATTTTGATAAATTTTATATCTTAGTTAAGTAATTAAAATGATAATTATTTCATCATGTTCTTACATTAAATTTGTGAATGTTTTAATCTTCCTAAATTCAAAGATTCATTTTGTTAATGCACTCTATATGTAGTCGTGAAAGTTGTTTACTTATTTACATAAAATCAAATATATAGTGTTTTAACTAGATCATAGATTAAATATAATCTGATATAAATTCAAACAACTTTTCAAGAATAATTTATCTCAACTATACAATTGTAATATACACCAATCAAATTACACTTGACGGAGAAGCTTTGGAGGATGTGGAAACCTTTACATATCTGGACAGCATTATTGATGAACATGGTGGATCAGATGCAGATGTGAGGGCGCGGATCGGCAAAGCAAAAGCAGCATACTTACAACTGAAAAAACATCTGGAGCTCAAAACAATTGTCAACCAACACCAAGGTTAGAATTTTCAATAGAAATGTCAAGACAGTTCTACTGTATGTGGCGGAGACGTGGAGAACTAAGAAAGCCATTATCCAGAAGATACAAGTGTTTATTAACAGCTGTCTACGCATGATACCTCGGATCCGTTGGCCAGACACTATCAGCAACGAGCTACTGTGGGAGAGAACAAACCAGATTCCACCGGTGGAAGAAATCAGGATTAAGCGCTGGAAGTGGATTGGGCACACTTTGAGGAAATCACCAAATTGTGTCACAAGACAAGCCCTCGCATGGAATCCTGAAGGTCAAAGGAGAAGAGGAAGACCAAAGAACACATTACGTCGAGAAATTGAGACAGACATGAGAAGAATGAACAAAAACTGAATAGAACTAGGAAAGAAGTGGTTAGGACAAAGGCAACATATCCACACCGCCATTACTTACATCCATCAGAGCTGTTTCCAGGATGTCGTCGATGGCAAAGTTGAAGAGAGAAAAGAAGGCCCAGGACAGTGTGGGTTGGAGAATGCTGATCGGCGACCTATGCTCCATTGGGAGTAACAGGCGTAAGTAAATTTGGTAAAAAAAAAGTAAAATACAATTGTAATGCTCACACATGGCCACGCGTATATAGCCTCTGTTAGGGAAGTCCTACCCACTGCCTTCTCACGACAGGGGTGTTGTTTACGAAATTGAGAGGACAAAAAGCGAATGGCCGGCGCTTTAACCGGGTTGGTGGACACCAAAGGTCCATCTAGGGGAGTTGGAAAACCCTGATTCCAAACCAATGGTGCACATGGGCTCCAGTATCCTGAAGGAACAAATGGCGTACTTGGTATTTTTATTGATGCACCTTTTTTGCACCTATACTATTTGTACTTTATCTTGTCTATTTAAAATTGTTAATCACCTAGTACTTTGTTTATGTACTCGACCTCAAACCATACAGTTTTTGAAAGGAATTCCCTTCTCTTACCATATTGTCCTGTCTCTAATCTACACTAGAATTTGTCTCGACAATATCATCTCTCTATGTGTTTCGATGTGGTGTGACAATTTGAGTCGATGTATGTATGTGCCAAGTTCTATGTTACATATAACTGAATGTAAAGACTTGTGATATTACTATTATCCGAGTGCCCACTACATCAAAAGTATAGGTAACGTGGAATTTAAAGCAGATGATATTTTAGTTGAAAAGGAACTTCAGTAGTCATCAAACTACAACTCCCAATCTATTAGCATAATAATAATGATAATCAATAATTAATAAGTAGTTTCGATAGAACAATGAGAAGACGTTAATAGCAAATGGTTATCCACTCAAGTTTATTAATAGGTGCAAAAGTCAATTAATGCCAAGACAATTATATGAACGAAGAATATTCTTTTCAATAATTTCTCATCAGGTTCTACAATTATAAATTAATAATCCATAAAAGAAGATTGGCCAAGTTTAAGGCAGAGTACATCAATTGAAGAAACTGTAATATGTGAATCAAGGGTTGTTTGTCATATAAAATAAGATCGAATCGTTAATGTTTTTGGGATGACTAATATGAAGTGAATTAAAATCGTAAGATAAATTATCAGAATATATATAGTTGACATGGGGGTGAGAGATAGAACAATGGGATTACAAATCGGAAATTACGTAATATGTAGAATTATATAAATTAGGTCAGATATAGTAGATAGGGGGTGGATGATAAATAAATTTCTATAAAAGGTTAGCAGGTGTGATAATAAAGATAATAATAAGAATAAGAATAATGACTGATAAGATGTGTAGATAAGACTAAGATATAGAAATGAACATTAATCAAATTAATGTCACCTTATTACAAAATTGATTATTAACAAGTTGACCCTGAAGTTGGCCAGGGTAAAAGGAGTGGCTGTACATATTTCTTTTGGATGCAGAGCTCTGGCTTTTTGATCCGAATAGCAATTGCCTCAGCCGTCTGCAGGATTCTCTGTCTGACAGAATTAGGTAGACTGCTATTTACACGATATATTACTGTGAAAGATTGCTCAATGTCGGCTCTATGTCCCGTCTGAACTAAATGGGCTAAAACAGAGCTGTTAACCGTTCTGACTACACCTTTGCTTAACCACACTGGAAGGTGTTCACGAGCCCGAGTATACAAATTCCTAGAACATCTGCCTATATAACTTGCTCCACAGGAGCAGTTGAATTGATAGATACAGAAAGAAGTGGCTAGTCTAGGCAATTTATCTTTCAATGTCGGCGTGATCATTGGGCGTGTGGAAAACATTAGTTGTAGTTTACCTGCATTAAAAGTCCTTTCGATTGATCTTCGTAGTTTCAATCTTACCATTTCACCAGGTGCGTCACCTCTGAATTGTAGACGTATATACACCTGGTGAAATGGTAAGATTGAAACTACGAAGATCAATCGAAAGGACTTTTAATGCAGGTAAACTACAACTAATGTTTTCCACACGCCCAATGATCACGCCGACATTGAAAGATAAATTGCCTAGACTAGCCACTTCTTTCTGTATCTATCAATTCAACTGCTCCTGTGGAGCAAGTTATATAGGCAGATGTTCTAGGAATTTGTATACTCGGGCTCGTGAACACCTTCCAGTGTGGTTAAGCAAAGGTGTAGTCAGAACGGTTAACAGCTCTGTTTTAGCCCATTTAGTTCAGACGGGACATAGAGCCGACATTGAGCAATCTTTCACAGTAATATATCGTGTAAATAGCAGTCTACCTAATTCTGTCAGACAGAGAATCCTGCAGACGGCTGAGGCAATTGCTATTCGGATCAAAAAGCCAGAGCTCTGCATCCAAAAGAAATATGTACAGCCACTCCTTTTACCCTGGCCAACTTCAGGGTCAACTTGTTAATAATCAATTTTGTAATAAGGTGACATTAATTTGATTAATGTTCATTTCTATATCTTAGTCTTATCTACACATCTTATCAGTCATTATTCTTATTCTTATTATTATCTTTATTATCACACCTGCTAACCTTTTATAGAAATTTATTTATCATCCACCCCCTATCTACTATATCTGACCTAATTTATATAATTCTACATATTACGTAATTTCCGATTTGTAATCCCATTGTTCTATCTCTCACCCCCATGTCAACTATATATATTCTGATAATTTATCTTACGATTTTAATTCACTTCATATTAGTCATCCCAAAAACATTAACGATTCGATCTTATTTTATATGACAAACAACCCTTGATTCACATATTACAGTTTCTTCAATTGATGTACTCTGCCTTAAACTTGGCCAATCTTCTTTTATGGATTATTAATTTATAATTGTAGAACCTGATGAGAAATTATTGAAAAGAATATTCTTCGTTCATATAATTGTTTTAATATGATGGGAATTTTTCAGCGATTAAAATAATGCCAAGACCTCTAATTTATTCAGTGCCAAAGAAAAAGGTTTACATCAATCTACCATTTAGAGGCGAATCAAACAGTATAGTTTTAAGGCAGAGATTGAAAGCAGCCATTGAGAATACGTATTATGCTGCTCAGTTGGTAGTGATTGAAAAGTCTAAGGCCATGATTCATAATAGACCCAAACAATGCACTAATGATTACGTCACATCCCATTGTATTTACCAATTTACATGTTTGTGTGGACACACATACATAGGTAGGAGTAATCGAACAATGCAATCAAGGGTCAATGAACATGTACCCAGATGGCTTCAAAATCAGTGTGTGTCAAATGATCCGATCAATGTAGGCGGTAGAAAACCATGTTCATCGATAGCAAAACACATTATTGAGACAGGGCACAAAATTAACATTAATACAGCATTTAGAATGTTGTATAGAAATTGTCAAGGTCGAATTCTTAAGTTTATTGAAGCCTTAGCTATTCGTAAATTTAAACCCCCCTTATGTGTACAAAAACAATTTGTCGTAACCTTGAATTTACCTTGGTAATCCTTAAGTCATTCTATGGCCTAGAATAACGCGACAATTTCTTATTCTTTCTCCCCCTTAGTTATTTTAGTTGTACTTTTATTTGTTTCTTTGACCTTTATTAATTTTCATATAAAAATGCCTTGACAAGTATATGTGTGACCAGATTGTTCGAAATGTATAGCGCAAATACATCACATTTTTCAGATCAACTACGTCTTCTCATTGTTCTATCGAAATTTATAAAAGGGACTAATTGCTTTAATAAGTAGTTATTTTAGGAAATTAAATATTTCATCTAGTTCATACATGCACATTAATTCTTTCACACTAAACTTTTTAAATAAAGTTTAGTTTATAATGAGTTACGATAATGCAATGAGAAGACGAAGATTATCATTGCATTATCGAAATTTATCAAAGGGACTAATTGCTTTATAATGAGTTAATCAAATTTTGTCTCTTGTTTATTTATGGTCATAGTGTTTTGTATAAAAATACGTTTGGAAAAAAATATCTCCAGCGGTAAATTCTTTTCTTTCTGAATTTATTTTATTTACAATGTGATTAGAATTATGTTAGCCATATGAATAATTTTCTTGTCCATTATATTTATAATTGTACTTAAGGAGAATTTCTTCTCAATCACTTTCTTATTTCCTATGAATTACTAGTATATCAAATTTGAATTATGTTAATCTTATTGGAATATTGATTTTATTTTCCGTTTAATCGTAGAACTATGTGAAAAATATCTTGGTTTCTAATCTGAGTTAATGCTTAGTATGAGTATAGTCGCCATTTTATGTGTTCTCCTCTATGACTTTATCTTCAAATAGAACTTTTACGGGGAATGCTTAAATCTTGTGTTGATATTTTTTTCTGACAGTTCACTAAGTAATAACTGAATAAATTCGTTTTTATCCAAGAATTATCATCACTATAATTTGCTAAGTTTCAATATATATTTTTTTATTGAAAAAATGTTTTATTTAGGAATCTGTTAGTTTATTGGCCTATCCATCACCTACATCAAAAGATTGTCCGTTACGTGGTTTACTAGATCCAGTATGGAGAGATACCATAGCCAGTGTTATTAACAGTGCTGTCTTAAGTAAGTATAACATTTGTGTAATATTAGTAATAACAAATATAATGTAGTTAAGATAAAATGAAAGGAGTTATTCAAATTTTCTAATTTTAAGTTTGTATTCATTGAAAACCAGAGAACGTATTTTACCACTATTTTGTTTTAGGGTAGGATTCTCCAATCTTTTCCCACTAAATGTATTACATGGAATCAAGCTTAGGACTTTTAAGGCCAGGTGACAATTAAAACACTTTCAGGCCATTAAGTTGGAATCTAGTGGTTCCTATTTTTTCTAAAATGTTTTAAAATCTATCCTAGAAGTCTCTAGTGCGTATTAGATCGTTATTCAAGGAATGAGTGTTATGGATATTTGATTATTGTTTATTGCTTGTATTCTATAAACCTAACAGAGTCGTTGATTAACGTAGACTTTCTTAAAGTGAACAATATCGTTATTTTAATTATGGTCTTTGATTTTCCAAAAAATTAATCAGGTTCTTATTTGGTTAAAAATTTATTTTTAAAGATATTTAAGCATTTTTCGAATTATTTTTGGAAATCTCTTAATCAGTTACATCATCATTAACTGTGGAATTTTACTTATACTAAAATATTGTTTTTCTTTAATTATTCATCTTTCACAGAGGCCCATGATCTCCCAGCTCAACCAGCGCTCGAACACGGTCTTCGTGCATTGCAGCGTTGTTTCCAAGATAAGAATTTTGTAGAAGCCCAAACTCTTGGCCACTTTTTACTGTATCACTTGACACCCGCTCAGATAGCAAAAGCAGACGAAGAGGTCGCTGCTCTAGAGGCTTCTATAGAGCATCAAGGTGTAAAACGTTTAAGATCTTCACCTTCACAATCAAATGGTGACCAAATTAATGATCCTGATGACAATACTTCTTCTGGTTCTCATAGCAACGAAATCAATGGTCACAATGCAATCCGACGTAGAGCTCGTCGTCGAAGGCGAAGGCGAGTTGACGGAACCGTATCAGAAAGTCAGTCTTCTGAACACACTGATGAGTGCAACTCTTCAGTAGAGGAAGTCAACAAAGAAGATGATGAAGAGGAGGAGGAAGATGAAGAAGGGCGTTGTAATTCTGAGGATGACGACGATGATTTTGACAACGATGATGATGAAGAAGACGGTTCATCAGCTGTTCCTTCTCGCCGACCTAACACACGTAGTAGCCAAACAACATCAGTTGGAGCACAAAGCGATAGTGGTTTTTCTGAAAGTAGGGGTTCAAATGGTGGTTCATCTGGCCGAAATCATTCTGCTTGTTCTTCGAATACTGCTTCACTTACACCTACTGGGACTGTAGCACCAAATATCCGCCTTGGTCGCCAGACCGATTTAACTCGATACCTTCCTTCATTTCTATATTCTAATCATGCAAGACTGATAACATCCGTTTCAAGTTCTCCAGTCCCCAATCTTCATCGTTCAAGTGCCCCTAGTCGTCGTTTTACAACATTAACTACCTCTGCTCGTATTGACAGTAATCATTCCCGTAGATGTGAAACAGTAGATAGTCATTTTGATTCTGCTTTTCGCGGTCTATTATCAATGTCATATCCTCACCGTGCAGAATTTCTTGCAGCTATGGATGACGCTTTAAAAGCATATGCTGGACCCCTTTTACTCACTGAAGATGAACAAATTGTTGCATCCAATCCACAACACCAATATTTACAACGTGATCCGCCATCACCTACTGGTGGAGGTTCTTGTACTTAACAATTTTACCCTAAAAATTATTCACTTTCAGGATTGTACATGATAATTTTCCGAAAAAAGAAAAAGCAATTATTGTTCAATCCTCTCACATATTTGATCATTTCTACAACAAACAAATAAAAATTTATCAAAGTCAACTCTTTATTTTTTGTCTCAATATTTAATATTTAGTTTTGAATTTTTCTTCTCTATTTATTCACAACTGTACAAAATGTGGATATTGTTGTACAACAACCAACCTAGTCATCTTACGCTATATAAATTAATATTCTGTCCTCACAAAGAAAAGGTTGATTCATTTTCGATCTTACTAACTTATCTGTGTTGAAGATTTTTTGTTTCACCCTTGCTGTCAATGTGATTAATTCTATTTTGTGTTCCTCTCTCCATTACCGTTAACACACGCTGGTTATAAACCACGGAATTTTGTTTTTTTTCCTCTCAATTTTGCAATCACATCCAAACGTTCACAAACACACGACTCACCGTAACTCTTATCTTTGATTCAGTTCAGTAATTTTTAACAATCAATTATCTCATGTAAGAGTGGTGGTAGTAGTATTTCTAAGTAAAAATTCCATTTCTATTATGCAGGATAAATCGACTGAGGATGATATGATTACTCATTTTGTTCCTTCTTCAATAAAGGAAATGCCATTTTAGAACTGTCCTATTAAATGATTCAGTTTTGCCTAAGCTTTAGTTGTAACAGAGAAAAAACTATCATTATTAATTTATCGTTGTGAAATAGAGAAAAAATTATTCATATACCGTTTGGGTGTTGTTACTATTATAAACGATGTTTTAAACAAATAGATATAATATGAGGAATGTCTGGTTTCGCATAATTTATCTGACGATAACAACAACTGAGATTTATTCTTTTACTTTACTTCCTCTTTCTCCCACGGTCTCTGCATTTTTTTGTTTTTGCCCTGAATAAACAAAACCCAGCACTCGTGGTAGATGAAGAGATTAATTGTAAACGAGAATTCAGCACTTTAATTTATGCCAAGCAAACAACTGAAAAGTGAAGTTTTCAGTGGTTGTTTCCCACTTTTCCTTCTTTCATTTTTCTTTTTTTCCCCACTTGCTGTTCTCATAGTTGCTGTTATTATCCTTGTTTGTTTGCATCCTATCGATTTTTTCCTGGAGTTGAATATATACATATGCTTTTTTCGTTTTAAATTCATATTAACATTTTAATTGACCTGCATTACTTATTGTTTCCTTCATAATCGTTTTCGTTGTTCATAATAATAATATTATCAATAATGGTAATGACAATACTAGTGTATATATATATATATATATATATATATGTAATGAATACAAAGTATTGTTCACCTATTGGGTTATCTTTTTTCTTTAGTACGTATTTTTTAGTGAATGATTAGTGATATTTTTCATCTGAATGTTTGTGTTCACATAAGAAAAAAGATTTCACTGATTGTTGAACTAACTTTTGAAATTTTTATCTGTCCATAGAAGAAATAGAGTAGTAATAGTAGTAGTTGATAGTAGAGTTTACGACTATTTCATCGGTATCCTATTCATTATTTAAACAATAATGTCCAGTTGACTAAATATAGTAGACTGATTATGCTTAATTCATTGATGTCTTTCCATGTTAAAAGACATAACAGCTGATCAGTAAACTAAGATTTCCTGTTTAGTAATAATGGCACACTTATATACAAAGCTATTAAGACAAAATAAAAATGGCATATCATTTGTAAAGCATAAGTGACTGTAACATACGGGTTTCATAGGTCACAGCCAATGACCAATTCATTTAAAATTTGGCTAACATACTTTATTCATACCCTTCATATATCAAGCTTATGAGAGAAATTTGTACATATTTTACCGAATAACATTTAAAACAGTGCATCACTCTTTATATTCTAAATGTTTCAATGAATGACTTATGGATTAGGTAGATGTAGATGTAAGTTACTTATGTATATTGACATTCAATTCGATATCTATTTCGTCTAGGCATTATAATTTTTGCTGATATGTTAGATATTTCTTTCTCTCTCTTTACGCCTGTTACCCCTCGTCGAGGAGCATAGGCCGCTCACCAGCATTCTCCATCCAACTCTGTCCTGAGCCTTCCTTTCCAGTTCTTTCCAGTTGCTATTCATCCTTTTCATATCTGCTTCTGTTTCCCGGCGTAGTGTGTTCTTTGGCCTTCCTCTTTTCCGCTTCCCTTCCGGATTCCAAGTTACGGATTGAGTCGTGATGCACATTGGTGATTTCCTTAATGTATGTCCGATCCACTTCCAACGTCTTTTCCTAATTTCCTCTTCAGTTGGAAGCTGGTTTGTCCTCTCCCATAAAACGCTGTTGCTGATAGTATCCGGCCAATGGATGTTGAGTATTTTGCGTAGACAACTGTTTATAAATACTTGTACCTTCCTGATGATGGCCGTAGTAGTTCTCCACGTTTCAGCTCCATACAGTAGGACTGTCTTGACGTTCGTATTAAAGATTCTGACCTTGAAATTGGTTGAGAGTTGTTTTGAGTTCCATATGTTCTGCAATTGTAGAAATGCTGCCCTTGCTTTGCCAATCCTTGCCTTTACATCTGCATCCGATCCTCCTTGTTTATCAACGATGCTCCCCAGGTACTTGAATGTTTCCACCTCTTCCAGAGTTTCGCCATCAAGTGTGATTGGGTCGGTGTTCTCCGTGTTGCATTTGAGAATCTTGCTTTTTCCTTTGTGAATGTGGAGGCCTATCGATGCGGAGGCTGCTGCTACATTTGCTGTCTTCATCTGCATTTTGTCGTGTGTATGAGAGAGGAGGGCTAGGTCATCTGCGAAGTCCAAATCATCTAATTGATTCTGAGCTGTCCATTGTATTCCGTATTTCCCTTCAGATGTCGAATTCGTCATAATCCAGTCAATCACTAGAAGGAAGAGAAATGGGGAGAGTAGACAGCCTTGTCTGACTCCGGTCTTTACTGGAAATGCATCTGTCAGCTGTCCTCCATGCACCACTTTGCACTGTAATCCATCGTATGAGTTTTGGATAATGTTGACGATCTTCTGAGGAACTCCATAGTGTCGAAGAAGTTTCCACAATGTTCTCCTATCCACGCTGTCAAACGCCTTCTCATAGTCGATGAAGTTGACGTATAGTGATGAGTTCCACTCAACTGATTGTTCAACGATGATCCGTAGTGTCGCAATCTGGTCTGTGCACGACCGATCCTTACGGAATCCAGCCTGATGATCCCTAAGTTCGGCGTCTACTGCGTCTTTCATCCGATTCAGCAGCACTCTGTTGAAAACTTTTCCTGGTACTGATAACAAACTGATACCTCTGTAGTTCTCACATTGGCTCAGATCTCCTTTCTTTGGTATCTTGATGAGATATCCTTCTTTCCAGTCCGTTGGCACTTGTTCCTCTTCCCAAATCTTTTTGAATAGAAGGTGAAGCATGTTTGCAGTTATTTCAATGTCTGACTTCAGTGCTTCTGCTGGTATATTGTCAGGTCCTGCCGCCTTCCCACTTTTGATTTGTCTGATGGCCATCTTGACTTCTTCGATCTTTGGTGGGGTGACATCTATTTGAAGGTCTGTGTGGGCTGCTTCGATGTTCGGTGGATTCGATGGGGCTGGTCTATTCAGCAGTTCCTCAAAGTATTCTGCCCATCTTTTCCTCTGTTCCTGAATCTCAGTGATTGTCTTTCCTTCTTTGTCTTTGACTGGTCTCTCTGGTTTGCTATATCTCCCTGATAGTTTCTTCGTTGTATCATATAGTTGTCTCATATTCCCTTCTCTTGCAGCTTTTTCCGCCGCCGTTGCTAGTTCTCCCATGTATTTCTGCTTGTCGGCTTTAATGCTTTTCTTCACTTCTCTGTTTGCTTCTGCGTAGTCTGCTTGTGCTTTGACTTTCTCTGCTCGTGTTCGGCTGTTGTTAATTGCTAGTTTCTTGTTCTTCCTTTCTTGAAGTTTGTCCAGGGTCCCCATAGAGATCCATTCCTTGTGATGGTGCTTCTTAGGACCAAGAACCTCCTGACACGTTGAAGTTAGTGCTTCTTTTATCCCTTTCCAGTTGTCCTCCAAAGTACTTTCTTGTTCTTTCAGTAGATCCTGTAGAGCTTGGAACCTGTTGTTGAGAGTTATCTTGAATTCATGGAGTTTGTCAGCATCTCGAAGGAAGGCTGTATTAAACCTTTGTAGTGCTGTTTGTCCAGTTGTCCAGTCTTTCTTTAGCTTCAGTCTCATCCTGGCCACAACCAGGTGGTGATCTGAAGCTATGTCAGCTCCTCTCCGGGTTCTCACATCTTCCATTGATCTTCGGAATTTTTTGTTGATACAGATGTGATCAATCTGGTTCTCTGTGGTGTGGTCCGATGAGATCCATGTAGCTTTGTGTATGCGCTTGTGTGGGAATATTGTGCAGCCTATAACCAATTTGTTGAAAGCACATAGGTTTGCAAGTCTCTCCCCATTTTCATTTCTCTCTGCTAGTCCATGTCGTCCAATTACATCTTCATATCCTGTGTTGTCCACTCCAACTTTAGCATTTAGATCTCCCATAAGGATGGTGAGGTCCTTTCGTGAGCACTTCTCTATAATTGATTGCAGCCTTTCATAGAACTGATCTTTATCATCGTCGTTGCTATCATTGGTGGGTGCATAACATTGGATAACATTCATTGTGATCCCTTGCTTCTTTGTTCTGAATGATGCTTTGATTATCCTGGGTCCATGAGATTCCCATCCCACAAGTGCATTTCGTGCTTCTTTGGACAGCATTAGAGCAACTCCCTGAGTGTGTGGCGCATTTTCCCCTTCGTGACCGGAGTACAGCAGCATCTCTCCTGTACCTAGCCTTTGTTGTCCAGTTTGTGTCCAATGGGTTTCGCTGATTCCGAGTACTGCCAAGTTGTATCTCCTCATTTCCATTGCTATTTGGCTGGTCTTTCCTGTTTCCCACATTGTCCGGACGTTCCATGTACCTATAAAGAGTGTTGCTCTGTTTGTTAGAAGGTGCATCGGTCTCGTGACTTCCGAAGAATTTCGGCTTTCATCATGAGACGTCATTATTCCTTCAACTTGGAGGGCAGAGTTTAAATGGTTTGGATTATTTTTTCTGGTTAGCGTTTTTTTAGCGAGTTAGCTTTTCTACGGGATGGAGTCGCTAACCCCATGCCCAACCCTCCTCCTTTACCCGGGCTTGGGACCGGCAGTAACTCTAGAAGAGCTACAGGCGGAGTTATGTTAGATATTGCAGTAATTCAATTTA